CCCCTGGAACTGCATCGGGACTGCCTCGAATCCTCCCTCAGGCCCTAGTTTGGCAAACTCGAATCTCGTCGATCCTCGGAACAAGCTCCTCAGACGCGCTGTAGCGCCTGCGCTTGGGACCTACGCACTTGGGGGCAAGAACATGGGCGAATAGCCAGACCTCTGTGCGCCGCTACCGTAGCCTGTCGATTCCGTCTGAGCTGTCTCAACCTGCGAGATAGCCGCGCCAACTGCATGGACGCGTCGAAACCGTCGTCGCCAGCAACACGCGCGTCGCGTCTTTCCGCCAGAAGACGGCTCTGCTCACGCCCGCGCCGCGCGCTCCAATCAAACCGACTTCAATGACCCACGAACAGACCGCCCCCGCCCACTTCATCAACCACCAGCCTGCCGCCACCGCGATAGTCGCCTACTCGATTGCCGACGACTGCGCCGACCTACCGACGCCAGCTGCAATCGCCTTTCAGCGCCGCGGCCCCCTCGCCCACCTCGAGCCGGGCAAGCGCTACAACCGTGCTTCCGAGCAAGCCCCATTCGCAATCGCTCTCTTCCAAAGAAACGTCGCCAACGCGGCCATCAACGAGATCAACGAGTTCATGGGGGCCCGGGGAGCTGCCGACCAGCAGCGCCGCTGGGCAGTCTGCGACCCGCGGCGAAGACGACAGTCCGGCCGCGCGCACGAGCAACTGACTACTATGACACGCAGCGACGCTCCCACTGAGCCCACGCACTTAAGCTCATTAACCCGCCCCGCAAGAGCGGGAGGTCATGCGCAACGCCAACGCCATCAGCAACCATGACCGCCTCGCCGCGGAACTCGGCCAAGTCTCGCGGCAACGCTTGATCGCAGAAACGCACGCGCGGCTGGCGACCGCTACCCGCGCCCCGCAGCAGGCGCCGGCACCAACCCGCAGGATGATCGCCGATGCCAGCACCCCGACACCAGCCAACGACATCGACGACACAATCCACCTGCTGCTGACAGCCGAAGACATGGCCCACCCCGGGGAAGAGGGACTGACGCTACGATGCAGGCCACAAGCGAGGCCAACACAATGGATGTAGCCATCCCGCGCTGAGCAGAGCCAGGATGGGAGCCATGGCCATCGCTCGCACACGCGTCCCAGCCTCGACAACCACCGAGCCACAGGCCTCGCAAGCCTTTCAATGGGACGGGCCGAACGGCGGGCCGTCAGCGCGTCCACCCCAACAGTTTGGGCCAGTTTTGTTCCGCGGACCGACGGCAGACGCCGCCGGCGGACAGCTGCTCCTTCCCACGTCCATTCATCGACATTATTATTTTACCCAGCAGCCGCACTCACAGGACACCCAGCAGCAGTGCAACAGTTGGTTCGCAACCGAATACATACTCTCCGCGACTCCCTGCCCACCGCCCCCAGGCGGCGGCGCGTTCCACCCGCGCGAACGCCCCTGCGGCCGTCGCGCAGCACGACGCTATTTCATGGCGAGCACAACTGCACCAGGCCATGCCATGCAATGGATCCACTATAATACATGGCCCCCAAGCCCGGCGCGGCATCCCCACCCGCGCGCGTTGCTTCGCCGAGGCGCCGCGAGGGCACAGGCCGCGCCGGGCCAGCGGGCGCAGCTCTCCCGCGCGCCTCCTCGGCGGGGGCCTCAGCCGCCAGCTGCGAGCTGCGTCCTCGGAGGCAGCAGCGCAGAGAGCCCTCTTTCCATTGGCCTTGAGAGGCCCGCCTGGCCCCCCCCTGGGACCCCCCCCATCCCACGTCTAACCTGCTCCCTCCGCTTCGCGCGGCGGGGGGGGGCGCGGTGCATTTGGGGCGGGGGCGCAGGGGGGTTCACCTCTGGGCATCGCGGCGAAGGCCCAAGCGGCCGCGATCCAGCCACGCCAGCCAACCAGCCACCCTCCAACCCCATGCTGACATGCGTGCCTTTCCCGCTGCAGACTTGCGCCGCCAAGCGCTTCGCTCGCCGCGGTGGGCGGGGGGCTTGGCGGGGTGGGTGGACAGGGCGGTTCGCAGAGCTGCCGCAACGCAGCTCGCTCCTCTCCCCGCGCCGCCGAGGCGGCCCCCTCGCAAAGGGGGGGCCGCCGCCGTCCGTGGGCACCGACCTTCTGTTGCCCAGTGCGGGCCCCTGGGTGGCCCCCAGCTCGCGCCCATGGCAGCCCGCCGCCCACCCCGGCGGGCGGGGGCAACCCTCGCCCGCCTCGGCGGGCGAGGACCCCCTCGGGATCCACGACGGGCGAAAGGAGAAGCCTTTGTGCCACCCCTCTTTCGGCGAGCGCGGCCCCCCTACCGCGCCCGCCCAGCCGCGGCCAGCTGCGCCGCGCAGCCAGCCCGAACCCGGCACTCTGCGCCCGACCAGTTATTGGATCGGCGGGTTACACACACGGTGGCGCGCAAGCACCAGCGGCTGAGCAACTCTCTGGCTGAACCGCCGTCACTTTAGCCGCGCTCTTCCTACCTCCTTGTCCAAATTTCAACCCGCGTCCAGCCGCGGCGCCTGTGCCTCCGCTCAACCCAACGCGTTGTCAGACTTCAACCTCTAAGGTCAATATCAAATTGGCCTCCAGGCAGCTCCAGGTGGCGCCGGGACTCCCGCAAGGGCGTCACAAAACAGCTAAAAGAGGGCCCGCAGATCCCAAGGGCCGCCCCGAAAGGCACCGCTGAGGGCCTAAAGGGGCGGCCGACGACGACCTCGATCGAGATGCTCCCGAGATGGCCCAGTCGGGCCCAGAAGCGCCCGCGAGAGAGCAGAAGACCCTCAAAGCCAATAATATTTGCCATTCGCACAGCTGTTTCCTACCATGTCCAAACACCGCTTCGAGACAGACTCCGAACCCCCTTGTTGCCCCGAAAAACAAACCCGCCTTCGCCAGCGTGGGTGCCTAGACCAGACCGCCCAGGACGGCCCGACATGTCAACAGGGCCCCAACAAGGCCCCAACAAGGTTCCAAAAATGGCCCCAAAGTGACCTCCCAATGTGGGCCTCAGAAGCCACAAGATAGTCACCGGAAGTGGTCTGAAGATAACCCCGAAAACCCAATATGGCCTTGGAAAGGCCCCAAGGTGGCCCAAGAAGGTACAACGTGTCCCCATGCAGTCAAGCCAACACCAGACGGACCACTCAACGAGGAACAAAACACATCCTTAGCCGCAAGCGCACGGGTGCACGAAGAGTGCCAAAGGAACAACTATGAAGGACCTTGGGACCAACCAGTGTGCTATGTCAGCAGTTCGCCAAACGAATCCACATCACTACGAAATACACGTCATAATGTGCATCCGCGCTGAAGCCCTTGTCGCGCACCCTTTGGTCCAGGACTGAATATGCCCACTTTCTCGGGCACCCCTGGCCTTGTCCATTTCCACCATTTCGGCGTGTGACAAGCGATCCTCATCAAGACCTCCAGCAGCAAACCGCACGGGGCAAGCCGACGCTGTCACCAACAACACCTCCGTTAACGACTGTGCGAAACATTTGTGTGCAACACCCAATTCGCGGGTTCAGTGCGATGAACACAGACAATTGCGCTGCTTGCGTACACCGAAAGCTAAGCATTTTGGCCTTCAGAGAAGGGACAAAACAACTGCCACTTCTTTCGTGACATCGCGGCCTCCCGGCATTGGTGGCCATCCGCCGGGCGCCCCACTTTTCCTTGAACGGGTGCCAACCGCGACCCAGGGGTGTGAGCCGCTCGACCCCTGTTTTAGGCGTTCGTGGGACACTTCGTTCGTGCCACTGCGGGTTCCAGAGGTCGCACCAGAGCCGCCGGGGCCAAACTACCCGGACACGGCAACAAACTCAGAACGCACCTGCGAAACCCTATTTTTGGTAACGCGGCCATTGTTCCTTTTCTGAGTGCTGGGCCGAATGCAGGAGAAAATCTGTCTCAAACGATAGCGACAATGGCACACACACACACAGCGATCACTGGAAAAATCCGCTGGGGTCCAGCTAAGGCGCGCTGAGCACTCGGGCCATGCCGAAGTCGAACTCGGGAGAAAACTTCGGCAGATAACCCGTACATTGCCAAACGTATCCACAGCATTACGAAATGCAAAATATAATGTGCACCCGCAGTGAACCTCTTGTCGCGCACCATTTGGTCAACGACTGAGTATGCCCACTTTCTCGGGCACCCCTGGCCCTGTCCGTCTCCAGCGCTTCGGCGTGTGGTTGGCGATCCTCACGAGGACCTGCCACAACCAACCGCACGGGGCAGGCCGACGCTGTCACCAACGACACCTCCGTCAACGACTGTGTGAGACATTTCTGTGTGCAACACCCAAATCGCCAGAATATGTCAAGCGGGCTCAGTGCGATGAGCACAGACAGCCGAGCTGCTCGCGTCAACCGAAAGCCAAGCTTTTTGGCCTTCAGAAAAGGGAGGAAACAACTCTTCCCGACCTCCACCTCCTCTTCCTCCTCCTCTTCCTCCTCCTTCTCCTCCTCCTCCTCCTCCTCATCCACGTCCCCCTCCCCCTCCTCCTCAGCCTCCTCCTCTTCCTCCTCTTCCTCCTCCTCGTCCTCCTCTTCCTCCTCCTCTTCCTCCTCTTCCTCCTCCTCCTCCTCTGCCTCCTCCTGCCCTTCATCTAAGCGTGTTGACTGCAACTCCAGGAGGCCCAAGATGCCCCAGGGAGGCCCCATTGTGGCCGAAGACAAGCCGAAGGCTGTCCAATTGTATGCGCAGAATGGTTCAGCCTGGGGAAGGCCATAGGCGGCAAACAATACGGCCATTGACACGACAAGGAAGCCGCAAGCACACAAACACACATACACACAGACACGCACGCACACACAGACACACGATCGATTCAGATTACTCGCGGTGAACTTATCCGACGCCACTACATACGCAGAAATCACCAACAAGCTTGCAGACGCCTATCAAACACCCGAACTGCGATCTGTGGTTCGACTCCAGACCAAAAAATGACTGGCTTGGCGAGTGGACGAACTCTCTGACTTTGTTACAGACGGTTGGACAATGCGAGGCAATACAGAGCAGAGTGGACCTCCATTTCGCGCTCCATATCATTGTCCATGAACTCCTGGGGGCACGCTGCTCCCGTCGCGCCCCTCCTCCAGCAAAACTTCGGCACTTCTGATCGCACGTGCCCCCCCCCTCTCAGCAACGCACGCTGTCTGTTTATACGACGAACCTCATCCAACAAGTCACCCAACTGTTTCGCTCCAGCGGATGCCTCCGTGAACCATGGTGCCTCGGGGCGCCTGTTGTCCCTGATTGCAGCTTCCCGTGAGAAAATGTGGGGCGCTGATCGGGAATCTACTAACCCGAGCAAACGCAGCAAGCCCAAGACAGTCAGGCTTGGCAAGATCCTGGAAGATCCTGCAGGATCTTGCGAACCAACCGTGGCAATGCAACCCTGGCTTTGCAGGTTCCTGCGAGATGCGGCGCTCTGGCTGCCCCCCCTTTGCACTGACCCCCGTCTCAAGGTTCCCAGACATACTCAAGTCAACGAAGACGCCCAGTGCGCTGGGGCATTCTCTTCGAGCAGAATGCGCCAAGTACATCTCCGCATGTGCCAAGGCCACAATACACATAAACATAAACATACACATGAAAGGGCTTCAAACATGGCACGTGCAGATCTTACCGCAAATCCACCAGGACCCCTGCGGGCGATACGCTCTGCAGTTGTTGGTGGGTTGCTGTCTTGTGCTTAGACAGCAGCAGCAGCATAACCACCCCCATAACGAGCACCCTCACAAGCGAAGCCCTTTAGTAAACGCACCCCAGGATGGGGTCGAGCAGGGAGGGCGGTTCAGTACACAAAAGCTGGCTCGTCCATGGGAGCCCCAAGGTGGCCCGGCCCCAGAAGCCCAAAGATGCCCCCGAAAAGATCCATAACGGCCCCCAGACTGTTCCAACGTGGCCGCAAGAGATGGCTCGGCCTTGAGGGCCGTCGCAGAGACGATCACAACCCTCCAGATCCGCCTTCCGTGCCGCCAGGCACTGAGTGGAGTGTCTCCAAGTCCCCTCAAGTCGTCTGTGCTGAATGTTGCCAAACCCTCGTGGCGAGACTGTTGACTGTTGGACTGTGAGTTGCTGATTGTTGAGCTACGAACTGTTGGCGAGACTATGAACTGCGATCCATACTGTATAATGATGACGGTTGGCGATGAGTCAGTCGCAGCGAGCCATGGCAGGAGCCACGAGTACCCTTGCCGACCACCCCACGCGTCTCTCAGGATGCACGGTCATCTTGCTAATACTCTGGTATGGGGCCCACAGCCCGGAGTTCCACGCGCTGCCAGAGGCTCCTCGGGTGTGTCGCAGACCCCTCGAGGCTTGTCGCAGGACTTCCCCTGTGGCCAGCAGCCCCGACGCCGGGCCAAGAGGGTTCCAGGACGCCCTCAAGACGGCCCAGCAGGGCCATGAGACAGCCCAAGAACGCTCCAGGACAGCCCAAGATAGCCTCAAGACGGCCCAAGAGGCCCCCAAGCAAGGCGGCCCCAAGGGGACCCCAAGAAGGTTCAAGAAGGGCACAAGAGGCTGAAGTCTCTGAATCGAACGCAATATGCAGATGCTTTACCCCAGGCGTCAATGGGGGGTCGTGCAACCTGGCCCACCAGGGGAAGAACCACGGGGACGAATCAGGTGAGCATCCCCAAACAATTTCCGTGCTGACCTGTCTGCTTCGAGCAGCGGGAGCTGCGGTGGCAGAGCCGCGCACAAGCTGAAAGTGGTACCCCCCTCGCAGCGTCCTCGCGCACAAAATTCCGCGACGAAGGCGGGCGGGCGGGGAATCGTTTGCACTGCGCCACGCCCGGCGCCCTGCCGCACAACGGCAGGAGCAGGCTTGCGTCGAAGCCCGCGCCTGAAGCGCCGCCCTGCCAACGAACGGCACATTTGCGGCGCCGCAGGGCAACGTAAACACCAACGACACCCACTGCCTGATGCGGCACCCCGCTGACTACCAGCACGCGCTCGGCCCTGCGGGCACCTGACACCCCGAGACGAAGCTTGGTGACACAATCGGCGCCACCGAAACCAGGCAGGGCGGACACACGCCAGCACAATTGACTTCGGCAGCAATGTGCTAAAGTCCCCAGGGCACCAAAACTATGTGACTTTAGATCGACCCTTATCCGAAAAACTTCGCCGTCCTCTGAATGGAACAGTGTTCTTATGTTTGTTTGACAAATCTCAGCGTTCTCGCCTTCAACGCTACAAGACGGTCCAACAGGCAAGTAGATCTCACAAACGCCCCCGAGGCCCTGAACAGGACCCAAAAGGACCCAACATCGCCCCAATTCGGCCCCAAAGGTCGCAAGAAAGCTAAGAGGGCCCCAAGATGGCCCCAACAGAGGCCCCAAAGGGGGAACACGAAATCACAACCTACGTGAACGCGTGTACATGCAACCCTCCCCGCCCAATCGCTTTTTCAAGCAATGGCGATGGGGTGCCATCCAAATTAGCGGACGGCCCCCTCCCGACGGGCGAACGAGGCCCCCCGCGGGCCGCCTCCGCGAGGTGCAGGGCGGCAAGGACGTGGTGGGGGCCGGCCCAGGAGGGGCAGGGACCGAACCTCCCCGAACACGAGGGTGGGCGGGTGGGAACAAGCGGAGGCGCTGGCCGCGCGGCGAGGGCGATCGAGCCTTGAACCAAAATGGCGACAGGTCGATGCACCCGCACCGTCAGGCCAGCGCGAAGCTCATACCCGCGCACCCATCCTTGGAACGCGTTAACACGGTTGTGATGATCGCATAAATGACCCCCCCCACACACACACGCAACCTACGTCGACGCGTGCGCATGCCCCCCCCCCGCCCAACCGTTTTTCAAGCAATGGCGATGGGGTGCCATCCAAATTAGAGGACGGCCCCCCCCCGACGGGCGAACGAGGCCCCCCCACGGGCCGCCTCCGCGAAGCACAGGGCGGCAAGGGCGCGGCAGGGGCTGGCACAGGAGGGGCAGGGAACGAACCTCCCAACATACTCGCCGCCAAGGTTGGGCCCGGGGGATTTTCAAGCCTCCGAATCCGAAGCGGCGGCGTCTCCCGGCGCGGGGAGGGCGGGGGCCCAGGTCGCCCGGGCCGCGGGGCGCCGCGGGCACCCCAGTCCCGCCGCTTGGGCGGCCGCGCTGGGATCTGAGCGCCCCCCAGCGAGCGCTCAGAATGCCTTAAGGCCGCCCAGGCGCCTCGACCCGGCTACCGGGGCCGCCCCTCCGCGGGGCATTCCGAGCGCCCGCCGGGGCGCGCTCGGCATTCCCCCGGAAGGGGGCCCGGCGCGGGAAGCAGCGCGCGCCATTCTTCCAGGCCGCCCCGGTCGGGGCGACCGTGACCAGCCGGGCGCCAGGCGAGAGAGTGAACGCCCAGCCGCAGCGCGTGGCCCAGAGCCGCGGAGGCTCGAGGCGCCTGGGACAGAAGCCCGCTGGCTGTGGCGCCGGCCCGGTCACCCTCCAGGGCGACGACTGTCTGGCCTCGAGGCGCGATGCCTATCGCGCGCCATGTCCGAGACGTGCACCTCCCTGGCGCAGCGCATCGCCGCCTCGCACCCCCGCCCGCCGAAGGTCTCGACCTTGTCCGCAGAGAAAGAAGCCCACAGCCGCGAGCCACCGGTTCCGGAGACTCGCAGAGAGCCGCCCCCGAAGCGGCGGTGGCCTGACTCGCCCTGCGCGCTGAAGTGAAGTCCATGAGCTCGGCCAGGGTCTCCAGGAGATTGTCGACGGCTTCCTTGGTGGCAGTGCCTCCCCGTCTGTCAGGTAACAGCGGGAAGGCCACCTGACCCGTGGCATCGGGCCCGTGCTGCTCGCCCAGAAACTCGACGTGCCGGGCTGCCACGCGGCGCACGCAGTCGGCGGCCAAACGTCCCCGCGCGAGCAACCCCAGGCTCGCTGCGCAGCCCACGGCTGCGGGGTCGGTCTTGCTGACCTGGAGCGCCAATGTGGCGAGCTGCCTCTTCCTGTCGACGGTGGGGTGAGAGCGTCGAGCATAGGCCAGCTCGATCTCGCGCAGCATGAACGCCTCGCCCAGGACAAAGGCCTGCTTGCCGTTGACCGGGGCGCTGTCGCCGAAAGCGACGCCGTCGATGTCCAGCTCGGCGACCTCGGCAACAGGGAAAGGTGCAGACTGGCGAGGCGGGCCCAGACCCCGAGCGACCGAGCGGGCGCCTTGCTTGGCCTCGAATCTCGCGCGCCTGCGCCCAGACGCCACCACGCAGGATGTGCTCCAGCTTGATCCGGGAGACGTAATTCGGGAAACTCATGTACCCCTGCAGCTTCACGAGGGCGCCCACGTGCCCGATGTCCTCCGGCTAGCGCGGGATGGCCGGGACCACTTCCCCGTGCCGCGCAGAGGAGTTTCGACCAGGTGGTAAGCAGGGGGCTCCGTGGCTCAGCAGCTGCGCGGGCGTACTTGTCCAGCTCGTACTCCGACAGGCACTGCGCCCTGAGCTCGGGCGTGACCAGCTGATCCTTGAGCGGCTCCGTGCGTCGCCGCCTCTTGATCACCGGGAAGTCGCCGCGGTCGACCTGCTCGACGCGCTCGGCCACAAGCGCGCTCGCACTGCAAGCTGCCCGAGGCGCCGCCTCCCCGAGCGCCGGCGGGGGCTTCGGTGGCGGCTCAGCGCCAGCAGGAGCCCGATCGCAGCGCCCTGGCGGGGCCCCGGCAAACGCCCAGCGGGCGGGCCGACGGGCAAGGGGGCCACCCCGCGCGCCGCCGCGCCGCAGGAGGTCGGGCCCGGAAGCCAGGTGGGCAGGCTGCCCGTTGCCCGCATGCGCAGCGGGCGCCCGCCGCGGGCCCTGCGCACGCGGGCCGCGTGCGAGGGGCCGGGCAGCCTGAACCAACGTGGTTACGGACAAGGCCCGAAGGCCGCCCCCCTCAGCACGGGCGACCCCGACGTCCTTGCACCCCAGGGGGGTGCGCCGCACTACCCCCCCTCCCTACGCGCAGGCAGGACCTCGAGTGGCCGCGGTAGGGCAGGCGAGGGCCGCCGCCACCGGAGGCGCGGCCGCAGGCGCCACAAGCGGGGCGACGTCGAGAGGACCGAATGGGGGGGGAGCACGGCGAGACGACCCCCCAGGAGAAGGCAGGATGCTTGACTGAACACCAATGAGCAGCCCGCAGACATCCGCAACGCATGGACGGATGAAGCAAGGACGATGGACCCGAAGAGAGAGGAGGGAAGTGACGGCTCATGGCTAACGCTTCCAAGCGGAAGGCCACAGTTTTCTCGCGCCCCCGACCGTGGGCGAACGCTCGGGTACATCCTGCACCCGCGCAGAACGTGCCCGCCACATCGGGGGGGGGGCCTCATTGGCAAAAGGAGCCGCTCACAGGGCGCGGGCCAGACCGCGCTGCCGCACCCTCGTCGCCCCCTTGGCTGAGCAGCCTGGCTGCGTTGCCCAGCTTGCCAGCGAGCGTGCGCAGGGCCTTCACCGATACCGCGTCGCGCGCCAGCACGTTGCCGATGAGGCCCTTGAGCTCCGAGACCGTCTCCTGGGCGAGGCTGGCGACCACCCGATCGGCGCGGATGCACAGGTGGCAGCCGCCCAGGTCACGGAGCTGCCGCGCTGGCCGTTCCTGAAAGCCAGGACCAGCCCCAACGCCAGCAAGACCAGGAGGACCTTCGTGGCCATGCGGTCCCGGGAGTCCTGGGCCCCTGCCAGCGCCAGCGTCAGGTCGTCCACATAGACCTCGGCGTCGTAGTGGCGGCGCTCCAACACCCCTGCCGTCAGCCGGCTTATGAGCGCAAAGAACCGGCACCACGCGAGTGGCGCACCGCGTGGCCCCTGGGCGAGCCGGTTGTACAAGTAGTAAATGCCGCGCAGCTTGCCGACGAAGAACCTACGCTCGTCCTCATGCAGCCCCAGGTTCCAGAACGCGTCGGACACGTCCATGGCCAGCCACTCGATGTCGCCGACCTTGAAGCCGGCCCAGCGTGCACGGCCTCCAGCGCGTCGAAGACCAGGTCGAGCACGTTGGGCAGCAGGATCCGCTGGTTCTTCCTGCCGCACCGCGTGAGGCCCGACTCTTTCGCGTCGAGGATGAGGCGGCGCTTGACGACGCCGTGGCGCTCCTTGATCACCAGCCCGAGCTTGGAGATCACGGGCTCGCCATCGAGCAGGGCGCGGCACTCCGCGAGGGTGTCCACCGCGGTAAGGGAGCCGAGGCCCACCAGCCAGTCGACCTCCATCTGCGCCCAGTCGTCCTCCTCGACCGACTGGTAGCTCTGGCGGAGCTCCAGGTCGGGGGCGTACAGCTGCTCGACGTCGATGACGTCGTCGTCCTCCTTGTGGTGTCCGGGAACGCGCCAACCTGCGCCGGGTGCCGAAGGATGCAGGCAGGGGCACCCTCCGCCGCCTAGGGCCGCGTCGGCGTCGGGGCCCCCCGCCGCCTGGGACCACGCCAGCAGCAGCGCCCCGCGGACCTGCGCGTGCTCGCCCGCGAGGGCGAGATCCTTGCAGCCCAGCGCCCAGCCCAGCGCCGCGCGGCACCTCGGCGCCTGCATGGGCGCGGGGCCCGCGCTCTGCGACGCGTCGCCCACGCCCGACAAGCGCGCGCGCCGCGGAGGGGTCCGAATCAATGACCCCACCGACCGCGGCGCGGACCACCGCCCCGACGGCGCGGAGCCCCGGGGTCTTGCTGGCGCAACTCATGACCCGGCGCAAGCCGCCGATGGCGGCGGCCTCCTGCCTCTTCTTGTCGCCCTCATCGCCCTCGCCCCGCAGCCGCCGAGGAAAGTCCAGCTTGCGGCCCAGCTCGGGCCAGAGGAGGGGGGGCCGTCTCCTGGTCAGCGTGTTGCCCCAGCGGCAGCGGCGCTCGAAGTCCGCCGCCTGGTCGCCAGCGGGCGGCGCCGGCGGGCCCCGCTGCGTCGGCGCGGGGCCTTGGCGAGAGCCGCTCTGCGATCAGCGGTTCGCGCGAGGTTAAGCCGATCCCCCTCGCGGATCGACCCGCAGCACCCGCGCCTTCACGCTGAGCGGGGCCCGCGGCCTGGGCGCGCACCTCGCGCCGCTGCGCCACCGCCGCCCCCAGCAAGGAGGCCGCGAGCACGTCGATCAGCTCCCGCGGGTAGGCCGCAACTGCTCTCACGAGGAAGTCCGCGTCGGAGTCGGCCTGCAGCGCTGCCAGCTCGCCCGACCACTCCTCCGATGGGGGCCATCTTGACCTTGCCGAAGAACGGAGGGCGCGCGCCCCAGATGCATGTCCCCGAAGGGGGCAACCTCGACCACCGTGGGGAGCGATTGCAGCTGAGCGCGCGCGGCCCGAGGTCGACGTGCGCTTGTCGAACGCGCAGCCGTACCTGCGCTGGGTGAGCAGATTGCGAACGACGCCGTGCACGGCGGAGATGGCGACCCACTCGTCGAGGCCGAAAAAAATAGTCTCGCACGCCACCTCTGGCGGGTTCTCGTTGAACCACGGCGGCCTCCTCTCCTGGAATCGGTCGCGCATGTCGCGAGCCCTCAGGGCCAGCAGCGTGCCTAGGCGGACCGCCTTGGCCTCGGCTGGCCGGAGTCCCTGGGGGCCGTAGCGGGCGCGACCCGTCGCCCCGCGCAGCAGCGGAGGGCCCCCCGGCTGCTTGCGTGCCCGAGGGAACGTGGAGCAGGGCGGCGATGCGAGCAGCGCGTGGTCGTGGCCAGAGTCCACGCGTGCCTCCAGCGCCTCGAACACCATCTGGTCAGCCAGGCCCTGCTGCTCACCGTTGACGATATCGAAGTAGTCCACCTCGATGTCGAACGAGTGCTGCACGCCGAAGGCCAGGCACGCCTCGCGGAAGCCGCCCTCGCGCAGTAGCCTCGGACCGAGCATCAGCCCCCGCGCTCAGAGCCGCATGGGGTAGGCCTGAGCGCATGGGCTTCGCATTATCAGTGCCAGCCGCTGGGCCGGCAACCCCTGCCTCTGAATGGGCATTGGGCTGACGCTTGGCTGCAGGCGTCGCAGGCGCGCCGCCCTCTGCCCCCGCCCGCGCCCGGGCCGACGGCGAGCTCCCCGCCGGGGGCGCCGCGGGCGGAGCTGCCCTTGCCCCCGCCCTTGCCGCCTGTGCGAGTCGGCGAGCGAGCAGCAGTGCCCCGGCAGTCCTTGGCACCATGCTTCGGGGAGAGGCACTTCGCACCCTGGTGCGCGAGGTTCGAGTCGCGCGGGCAATTGCTGCGGTTCAAGCTCGGCTCGCAGGTCCCCGACTGGAGCGCTGGGCAGAGTCTCGTGCCTCGACGGTTCACCGCCATGGAAACGTCGATGGCGGCGTCGTGCTGCCTCGGAGCCTTGGCGCGCGACGGGCCCGCCGGGGGCCCAGGGCCCCGCGGGGTAGCAGCGGTCGACGCCCGCGCCTTGGACTCCGTCTGCGCATCACCGTCAACCACCTGATGCAATTTGGCAGCGCGAGCCAGCATGAGCATGGCGGGCCCCTCCAGCTCGCGGCGCCAAGAAAGCTGCACCCTCGATGACATCGCGCAAGCTCCAGCCCCACTGCCGAGCCACCACGAATTGTCGTGCCATGGGCGCCTCCGCCGCCGCCTGCATGGCGCCTCGGCGGCGGGGGCGCTCGATCTGCTCGAGTCGGGCACGGACGTCGGCCTTGCAGATAATCACCCACGAGTCAGCGCCGTACCTATGACTGTAGAGCTGCATCAGGTCCCGGTACGCATCCAGCGTGGATGTGCTCATCGCGTTCAGCATGATGCAGCTTCTCCTCCACACACGGAACGACTGCTCCCACGCCGTGAAGCTCACAGGGCCGAACAGCTCGGTGGGCTGCAGCCGGCCGTCGGCTGCGAGGGTGAAGCCAGACAGCTTGACCTTCTTCGAGATCCTGTGCCCGAAGGGCCCCCGCACCGCGAAGTCCACTTAGGGGGGCCAGAGCTATGCAGCAGGGCGCGCAGCGCGGAGAGCTGCTCGAGGGTGAGTTTCTCGTGGGGGGCTGGAGGCCCCCCCGTGACCTCTAAGAACCTGTCGTAGGCCCTCTTGACCAGGTCGCCCGACAGCTCGATGACCTCCATGTCGTTAGCCTGGTCGGCGACCGTGGCCAGTTTGACTCGTTTGCCAGGCGACGCGGCACCCAAGGCGCGCGACTCAGAGTCGCGAGGTTCGGCGCCCTGTTGCCTAGCCTGGAGCAGCTGCAGCTCTCGCTCGCCGGACTGCCTCTTGCGGAGGTCTGCGAGCCGTTCCTTCGCACCTAGCGCCACTCTGGCCGCCTTGCCGAAAAGCTCCCTTTGTTGCGCAGGGATGGGGCCGACCCGGCGACCACCCACTGATTCAGCACCGTCTCGAAATCGGCCGCTGGAATGGCCGCCAGCGGCCACGGGTGCTCGTCGGGGAGCACCCCGAGCAGGGCGAAGAGGGTCCCGCGAGACGAGCTCGGCGCCTCGCCTCCCGCCGGTCGATGACAGATGACAGCCCACTCCGCCTCCGCGTCGCAGGCGTCGAAGGAGGAGGCCTCCTCCGCCGTGGGCTCCATCACAGACGTGGCACGGAGACCCACGCGCCGCTCGGGAGAACCAGCACGTAGCACCCTGGCGCAATGCGCCGGCAACACCAACCGCAGAGCCAGCAGCCGGCCCGCGCGCAGCAGCAGGCCACAGTGCTGGTGGTCACCAGGAAGACCACCAAGAAGATCAGCGACAGCTGGCCGTCGGGCTGCGCCGCTGCACGCACTGTCACCGCCGACATGCAACAAGCGGAGGCGCTGGCCCCGCGGTGGGGGCGATCGAGCCTTGAGCCAAAATGGCGACAGGTCGATACACCCGCACCGTCCGTCGGGCCAGCGCGGAGCATACCCGCCCACCCATCCTTGGAACGCGTTAACACGGTTGTGATGATCGCATAAATGCTCCCCCGGACATGTCGAGCCATCCATCCCATCATGACCTCCGAGACCACCAGCAGGCCGAAATAGACTCCCAAGACGCCCCTAAAAGCTCTCAAGAGGCCCCCAAGAGGTCAGCTCCCAAGAGCCCTCCAAGCGGCCCCCGAGGCACCCCAAGAGCTTCTACTTTGCGTCCAAGAGACCTCTCTGGTCCACGACACAGGCACGGTGGTGGGATAGACCGAAGGCCACCAGATAATCCACCAGCCCTTTAGGGCGTGAGTGGTTTAGCGCTGGCTTTCTCATAGATCCCCCTTCCTCGCCTTCGGGGAGGGGCTCATCACTGTTCCCTGGTAATTCGCCGGCCCAACGGGCCAGAGGCGTGCTAAGATCTCCGGTAACTTGTTAACAATATTTCTAGTTCGCGCGCGCGGAGCGGCCCCTGGGGGCCCCCGGACGAAAAGTACCCCGGCAAGGTCCCGAGAGAAGCCCGGGAGAAGCCACCAGACCACTCCAGGGGAGGGTATTTTTCGACACCCCTCACGAGGATCGTGGCCTCCGAGGGGGGAGCCGCAATCGACTACCCCCAAGAGCCCCCCAAGAGGCCCTGGGGGCCTCAAAAACGCCGCCAAGGAGCCCCAAGAGACTCCCAAGAAGTCCCCAAGAGGCCCCCAAGAGGCCCTAAAGAGGGCTCCAGGGCCGGCGGCATGAGCGAAGCGATTAAATAAACACCTCCTCCCCCAGGCGACCAGCAGCCAACCAGGACCAATGATGCCCCCCCCCCACAGCACCTGTCCAAAAGCAGTGTGCAGTCCACTTCGGGGCATACTCTTGGGCCATGATCGGGGGGGCGGCGAGCACATGGTGTTATTTGTTGACATCGACGGCGGGGGTGCCCGCACACTGCCTGCTGTGCGCAGGGCCAGCAGCATCCCTGTCAAAGACTACGGGAATTCAATTCGAGGTCAAATCTGGATCATGCGCGGGAACCCCGCGAGCACTGTGCATTGGATATTGACTGGGGCGGCTGGGGTGCTGGCATAGTGCTCGCTGTGCGCAGGCCCACCAGGCGCTATGCTGGCCACCCCGCCGCCATTGCGCTCTGGCTTTCGACAAGGGTGGTGGGGTGGGGGCTGACATGTTTCCTGATGTGTACTGCCACGTGCGCAGGCGCACCTGGCACACTCTGCACGTGTCCCGAACGTTGCGCACACTGCTCAGCTGGAGCATGCGGCACACGTGGCGCATCTGGCGCGCCCGAATCCGAAGTTTCGGACCGAAGGAGAGGAGGAGGAGGAGGAGGAGCAGGAGCAGGAGGATGAGGAACTGATCTGAGCTAAACCTCATGGAGTCCCTGTCTAGGCTGGCGAACACCAGAAAACGCTGCTTAGACTGCACTCTGGGAGGGCCCCTTCGAGAGCAGCACGCTCACGATGCGGGCCCGCAGGGGGCTCTCGGCGCAGACTGCACTGGCCGACTGGCGGACGAGCGTGAGAGGCGAGAGGCGGGGCGGCGCGGGGACGCGGGCAGGCAACTGGGGAGGGGGCCGCCGCGTGCACGGCAGGCCCAACCCCCTGGGGGGAGGGCAGCACTCGGACCGCCCCTGCCCCGCGCGCGCCTGCTCGTCGCCGCCCCCGCCGGGGGCGCACGCGGGCACGTGGGCGAACGAGCAGGAATCTCCTCGCGTGCACCTCGGGGGGGGAGGCGGGACGGGCGGGGGGGAGAGGACGGGGCGAGGGGGGCGAGGGCGAGGGGGCGGCGCAGGTGCCGATACGATCGTAGAGGGGCAGCATCCCCATCGCCGTCGTCATCGTCAAGGGGTGAGGCCCGTGTTAGGTCAGCGGGGCTCAAGCGGGCTCACGGACCAAAAGCAGAGCAAGCGTGCCAACGTTTGCATACCCACCTGTGGTGACGCGTGTCCAACATGCCCGCCCCTCGTACCCAAAAGCCGACAAGTGGTGAAGCATCATGGGCGTGCCGTACAAGTTCGATGATTCATGCTGCAAGCTCGGGTTCTCAGCAAGCGCTCCCAAAGGCCAGAGCGCATCTTCATGAACGACACACAAGGATAGAGACACAACAGCGCGCATGTGTGCCATTCGTCGGCTTGATAATCAGCGTCATGGCCTCTGTCATCGTAAGACGGCTCCAAGAATCCTCGTCCTCGTGGTCGTCGTCGGCTTCATCCTCCACCTACTCGTCGTCGTCGTCAATATCGTCCTCTTCGTCATCGCTCTCCCTGTCCGTCTCCTTCTCTCCTCCTCCTCCTTCTTCTCCTCCTCCTCCTCCTTCTCCTCCTCATCCTTCTCCTCCTCCTCCTCGTTCTCCTTCTCATCCTCCTCCTCCTCCTCCTCCTCGACCGCCTCCTACTCCTACATTTCGTCATCGTCCTAGTCTTTGGATTTCTCTGTTTCCTCCTCATCATCCCAACTTTATTTCACCATAAATGTATCTTGCTCCCTTTCTTGTCAATTCTCTTTGGCGAAACGTGAAGGGACAATAATAGGGAGGGTGCAAACGAAGGGACGCACGAGAAGGTCACTCGGATGGGGAACATAGCATGGCAGCTCATACCGTGCCAACCCGTTCCAATACCATCTTCCTCCTCCATCCATACGTCCTGACGCCTCCCTCACGGTGTTCCTGTCCACCTTGGCCCGCCCCCTCCTCTCCTCCGCAATCCTCCGCGGCCGGTCTTCTCCCCATCTCCTCACTTCCTCCTCCCCCGTTCTCCGATCATCCTCTGCGAAAGGGGTACATGACGGCCCAAGACTTGCGGCGACGGCCCGGAAACAACCCCACAGTCCCCATTACATTCCAAAGTGGAGACGCGGTTGAGGTACAAATCATCCTACACCCCTCCACCTGCCTCTCCCACCTCGTCCTTTCTTGTCCTTTCTCATGATCCTGTTCATTCTTCTCCGCCCTTCTGCCTTCCCCCTGTCTCCCTCCTCCTTCCCCCCGGCATTCCCTTCCTGGTGGGGGAGGAGAGGGAGGAGTGGGGAAGCAGGAACCTGTGTCCGAAGAGCCCCGACAACGCATGCCAAACCCGGCTACAACCAACCGACAGGCTCAAAGTCCGCCGACCACCGCTGCCCAGAATGGTGAGATGGCATCCGAGATATTGCATGCCCGCCTTCCCCATGATGCGTCCTCCCCGTGGGCCCAGGCTTCTGTTTCAGGACAGGGCGACGAACTCGCCACCAGGTCTTCCAAGTCCTCACCACATTAAGATGTCGTGTGCACTGTACCAGTGGTTAGTAACTTTCATGCGTTCCTCCCTCCTTGGGGGGCGGTGGAATAGTCTAAGCCTCTTGAATGATCAGCAGACAGCGAGGCACGAGATGTCGGCGCGTACGGATCGGCGCAGACATCCTGGCTGCATTCATCATCCTCACCCTCACCTTCCTCCTCCACCACACCACCCATACCAAATGCAGATCCGTAGCATCTGCCGCAAGTGCGCAAGTTCTCCGTCTTCGTTAATTTTCCCTGCGCTCCCCCCCTTGACCCGTCTTCGTCCCTTCTCTGCGTTCCTATTCCTCCCTCTTCCCTGGGCTTCTCTGTCGCGTTCTCTCTCGTTCACTCTCTCTCCCTCTCTCTCTCTCTCTCTCCCATGGTCTCTTTCTTCTATCTCCCTCCCTCGCTCTCTCTCTTTCTCTCTCTCTGTCTCTCTCAATATCTCTCTCTCTCTCTCTCTCCGTCTGCCACCCGATGATGACCACAACCACTTGCCTTGAAGGGCACGGGCCCCTTCACCGAGGGCCCCAGGCCTCGTGGAGAGACCCGCGGCGAAGAGCACGGGAGGGAGGAGATCCCGGACACGAAGGACACCAAAGGGTACGGCAGGAGCTCGACCCCAGGAGACCTTCTGGAAGAAACCCAGCCCTGCAGCCCCAGGATGCCTGTCTCTTGTTGGCATGGGGGTACCACGCTCTCCGTGGCAAAAAACAGATCGCAGCCGAAGAAGCCCAGGGCAGCCCGGAGGCAAGCAGGATGCTTCTGCGCACGGGTCTCCGCCGCACCCCTCCAGAGCAAGGCAGCCTGACTCCGCGCCCTCGCGCCGCGCACAGCGCAAGCAGCTCCGCGCCCTCGTGCCGCCCCCCCCCCCAGGGGAGAAGGGACGAGGAGGAAGCAGAGCCGAAGCGCGAAGCGCGAGGCGCGACTCCCTTCGCGCCCTCGAAGGCGCCCCTTAGGAGGCAAGTACTGGGAGGTTGTCGTCGGAAGGATTAAAGAGGATTGAGCCCCATTGGGGGGCTGTTACGCCGGAGTGGGCCTCGGATTGAGCCGGGATTAAGCGGGATTCAGCGAGATTAAACTGGATTAAGCGGAATTAAGCGGGATTAAGCCGGACTTCGGACCAGGGCAAAATCAGAATTTGACCTCCCAGGAGTTGCATCCGAACGCCCCTGCTCCTCCAAAGCTGGAGCGTCCTCCTTCACCCTCGCGCCAGCTGTCCGCCACCGTGTGCCACCAGCCACGGTGGGGCGTGCCATGAATGCACGGTGTTGTCAAGCAAAACGCCGCCTCTCCAGGGGCATGCACCAGCCCCCCTCCCGAGGCCACACTTTTTTGCAAAATGCGACAAATTTGTGTTCTTGACGTCCAGATGCATCCAAGACAGCACAATATCGTTACAAGACAGGACACTTTGGCCTCAAGACGGCCCAAATGGCTTCAAGACGGCCCACGGGACCTTCGAGGCGTCCCAAGAGAGCCCCAAAAGCCGTCCCAAAAGGGCCTCGAGAGGCATAAGTCAATGTTTCCGCATACAGTCGGCCTTGATTGGACAGGACACGCGAGAGGACACAAGACCCTTCCGAGGGCCACATTGCCATGGGGGATGTAGGAGGCATGGGTTGCGAGGCACAGGACACAAGGGTACCTAAGGGTACCCTTGATTTGGCAGGGTCGACCTACTAATCAGGGCCGACTGTAGCTTTTTCAAAAAGTTCGGGTTCTCACCTTTTCGGGCTTCTGACGTCGCAAGACGACCCAAGAGGCCACCAGACTGCCCCAAGACGGCCCAACAGGCCCCCAAGAAAGATCCAAGACAACCACAGAGGGCTCAAAAACGGCCCAAGAGCTGACCAAGAATGCCAAAGAGGGCCCCGAAAAGGCCCCGAGAAGGGCCCCAGAGGTGAACACGAACCGACGATTCGAGCCTTCCGCCCGGAGAGGGCCCAGGAGGCCTCAAGGGGGCCAAGAGAGGCCCCCAAGAAGCCCCCAAAGAGGATCGAGAGAGGCCATCAAATCAAGAGGCCCCCCTCAGAGGGCCCCGAGAAGCAACAGCAATTGATGTCCCAAAGCTGTTTCAATGTTGTGCTGGTTCTCGCCATTTTGAGCTTCCGACGCTCCAAGGCGGCCCAAGAGGCCCCTGAGACTCCCCAGACGGCTCAAGAGGCCCCAAAGAAAGCTCTAAGACGGCCCAAGAGGGCTCCAGGACGGCCCAAGAGCCGAGCAAGACTGCCCAAGAGGGCCCCAAGATGGCCCCAAGAAGGGCCCAAGAGTGGAAACACGAACCAGGAGTTCAAGCCTTCTGCCCCAAGAGACCCCCAGCAGGTCCCCTTGCCCCCTCAAATAGTTGCCACCCAGAATGATGCGCTGGCACGGTGGCGAAATTGCCGGAAGCAACTGGATGTCTGTGTCTCGATCTCTCTCTGTGTCTCTCTCTCTCTCTCTCTCGTGTCCGCTGCGTGTCCTCGCCACGGTGGGGCACCCGTGAGAACGCATGTATCTGTCTGGTGAGAAATCTAGGACTTTCTGGGGCAACCCCCTCGGGTCGCACCAGTGCGAAAACACATACTGGTAAGGACCTAACCATATGCAGTTGTGAGCATCGTCGTTTCAGGTATCGCCTTCGGGGATCTCCTCATGTGGCCATGAAGCATGAGTAGGGTGTGCCGATATGAGGCGGGGCCGCCATGTGCGCGCTGCCACTGCAGCTTTAGGCAAAACCCACTATGCGGCCGCGAAACGTGTTATGGGTGCGCCGCAACGGGGCGGGGCCGCCACTGACGCCTTCGGTGGAGCTCCCTATGGGTCCACGAGGCGCTGTACAGGGTTGGGGAAAAACGCATACGAGTGCAGCAACTGGGGCCTTCGGTGGAGCTTCCCATGGGGACACGAAACGCTGTACTGGGTGAGGGGAACCGCATGCAAACACCGTCACTGGTGCCTTCGGTGGAGTTCCCTATGGGGCCACAAAACACTGTACTGGGTGGGGGAAGCGCATGCGAGAGCAGCCACTGGGGCCTTCGGTAGAGCTCCCTATATGGCCACGACGCGCTGTACAGGGCGGGGGAGTCGCCTGCGAATGCAGCCACTGGAGCCTTCGGTGGAGCTCCAGATGGGGCCACGAAGCGCTGTACTGGGTGGGGGAACCGCATGCGAGAGCAGTCACCGGGGCCTTCGGTGGAGCCCCCTTATGGGGCCACGAAACGCTGTACTGGGTGGGGGATACGCATGCGAAAGCATCCGTTGGGGCCTTCGGTGGAGCTCCCTAACCGGGGCCTTCTGTGGAGCTCACTATGGGGCCACGACGCGCTGTACTGGGCGGGGGAACCGCATGCGAGAGCACCCGCTGGGGCCTTCGGTGGAGCTCCCTACGGGGCCACGGAGCGCTGTACTGCGTGGGGGAACCGCATGCGAGAGCAGCCACTGGGGCCTTCGGTGGAGCTCCCATTGGGAA